ATGATCATATATTGCATAAGCCTGCCACAATGTCAATGTACCCCATTCTTGGCAGGTCCTTGGTTTTGCACCCCTCCCTGTAACAGGTGCCTTATTCCAGGACCCTATTTAGCCATGAATCGCAGAGAGTCCCAGTAAGGAAGTATTTCCCAAGTAAGTGGATTAATCTCATAAGAGCAAGCATTAGGCTTCTAGAGTAGGACCTGCCAAGAATGGGGTACATTGACGTTGTGGTATTTTGTCCCCGCAGCACCCTATAATGTATGCATGTTCAGGTGAGTGCAGCCCTCTTGGTTTCATTTATATATGTATTTTTTTACACATACACCAAAATATAAATTACCTCTAATTTGACAATTTTCTCATACTATCATTTTTTTTAATTGATCTTTTAGAATATTCGCAACTGTTGTAATGTGCTATTAGGCGTATCTTCATTTTTGCATTACAGACTTAAAGGTACTATATCATCCTTTTTTATTAATGAAAATAGAAGATTACATGTACTATAGCCTTGTTGTGTATTATTTTAGAATGAATAAATACAAATCAAAAACTTTCAATGCATCTCTGGCCTACTCGTACTACATAGAGCAGTCATCTTTAGCCCTTTTTGATAAGAAACATAATTTATCATCTAAGACAAATTTTGAGATGCTCGACGTTTGGTCAGCATACCATGTCAAGATTCATGCATGCACTCTAGCTTTCTTACCATTAATATCTTTGGTTCTGATAAGCAGTGGTCTTGTCAAAGAGGCCTTAAATACGGCTTCCCCCACAGTGTAACTGTGAGCCAAAAGATGCATCAAAAAGAGGTATTTACTCAAGCATCACAAAATAATACACACAGAAGCAAAAATACTTGCCAGGTTTTTTTTGAGTGCCAACAGTCATGTAATAAGTATACAATAAAAAAAAATCAGACAAGTAATAGTTACATCATAACTATAGAAAATCATAGTAAAGTATACTATCTTGCAATGATATGTAAAGGTGATATTAAAACCATGATAGATGTATTTTTATCAACTTTCTGTGGCAGTGTAAAGCATATTGCCATTAACACCAATCACACACAACAGTTGTGCAAAGTCATCACAGACACATTTATAAACCTAACATTCCAGAGTCTACATTCATTGTGAAGTTCATAAGTAAAAATAACAGACCCTTTATAGAAAATAATTTATTATCTTCTGAAACACTGGAGACCTTTTCTGATTTTTAAACTTTTAAGTCTTTCAATCGCCTGTTCAACTATTTCCATTTAGATCATTTCTAATCCTTGGTGCTGTATTTATTTCCCATTACTTTCTTCTTTTCTTATCTCATATGAGAGTATATAGAGGATTTTCTTTTCATTCTTTTCCTGTTCTTATTTATTTCCTCTGCGGTCATTGATGACTCTTTGCTCTCTAATCAAATGGTTGCGTATACAAGATTTATTAACTTTTTTTTATTTCAAGGAGAAGATAACATATGTTTGACTTTTGTAAAAGTTACTTTAAGAGCAAATAATGTGATATCTGTTCTTGCTTAGCGCACTGTATTTACAAGATTGAGAATAATTACTGGAAGCTAAAAATATTAAAAGAGAATTATTTAGAGAATGTCTAATTCTCTTTGTGCGTTGATAGAAGACTTTTCCCCAGCATATGGCTTCATACATTCTTATATTCTTTATTTGTCAATCCACACACACACACACACACACACACACACACACACACACACACACACACACACACACACACACACACACACACAATTGGAACTACTGTTGTGATTCTATGGAGTTAACCCCAGATAAATTATTACTGGAACAAAATTAGGAGGTTTGTTTCAATGTTGTTTTTATAAGCAACATTTATTAAAACATATTGCCTTTCCATTTATTAATATTAATGTTTGTTTTATACCTAAGCTCTTGGGTATATAAATAGACAAAACTATATACCTCATAGTAGGAACCCCATCTGAAAATTGAATCTCCAGAACAATTTTAAGGAGTTTTGTTTTTTTGAAGTGAATATACAGAAATGTATATGTTGTAATGGAATTTTAGATGACTGAGCAAAATTGATAAAATAGAAATTTAGATGGTCACTTTCTGTCAATTGGAGAAGATTCATTTTTAAATTACTGAAAAGTAATATTATTAATATAGGAACTATATTAAATACACAGAATAATACAAATATGAATAAAAATTAAATAGAAAACATAAAAATAAATAAAAGTATTAAAGATGCTAAGAGTTAAATGTACTAGGTGTTTAGGTGTGAAATAAGAATATATTGAAAGGCAATATATGGATAAAAAAAATGTTTGCTTATTAAAACTATAATAAAATAAACCTCCTATTGATTTTTAGTATTCATGTGTTTGTGTTCTCCTCTACACAATCACAACAGGTATTTTTTTTCAGTTAGGCAAATATTGTACAGCATAATGTAGGAGTTCTGATAAAAAATATACTTTGTTACCACTATTTGTATCACTAGATAGTATTACACACATACTGTATCTTTGAGATAACACATATCTCTTTTGAAGATGCACTATATCTTTCAGTTCTTGTATATAGTTGCTATGATACGTCAAGATGCAAATTATTATTTGTTGGGTCACAGATACTGGTGTAGTACATATTTCACAGTGTATATTGCGGCTCTTAAATCTTTAAACTGTGCACTGGGTAGGATTTACTTTATTTTGTGTTAATAGAAAGTAACCATATGAACATATCGAATGTTCAGTTGTTTCTTTACTGATTGAAATCAACATCTCATACAATCATTGCAGTTGTATTGTTTTTGTAGGAAATGTGTACAACTGTATGAGATGTTGTATGATGCCCATATGTTTTTGGCTATACAAAGACACAATGAGTACAATGGTAACTCCAAAAGGCAGCCAGATAAAACCTAAATGGAGTTGAGCAAACCCGAACTGAAAAGTTCAGGTTCGTACCGAACATTAGGTTTTTTGGACACCGGACCCGAACACGGACATATCACTGTATGTTCGGGTTGGAGTTCGGTGTTCAGCGATTTAATGGCGCGTTTTCAAAGGCTGCAGAGCAGCCAGTCAACAAGTGTTTGACTTGTGCGCCCTTAGAAGCCATCACAGCCATGTCTACTAATGGCATGTCTGTGATTGGCCAGTGCAGCATGTGACCCAGCCTCTATATATAAGATGGAGTCGCGTAGCGCTGCACGCACATGCAGTCTCATTAGTGTAAGGAGAGGATGCTGCCGCTGATAGGGACAGCTTAGGAAAGAATTCTGCAAACTAGTACATTAGTGGGCTGGGGTGCACTTCATATCTGAGAGTCAAATAGAAGCTTCAAATACCACGGTTACATCAGAGTTTTAAAAAGTACATTTTTTTGGGTGCGAAATAGTACATTAGTGGGGTAGTACATTAGTGGGGTGCACTTCATAACTGAGAGTCTAATAGAATCTTTCAAATACTGCTGTCACATTGCAGTTTTAAAACTTAAAATTTTTTGGGTCCTAAACTGCTAAATAGTATTTTAGTGGGGTGCACTTCATATCTGTAGTGTCAAATAGTAGCGTCTAATAGTGTGCTTAAAGCGCAGTGGTAAACATTCTTATTTTCTGGGTGCTAATCTGCTAAGTAGTACATTTTGGGGCGTGCACTTCATATCTGTGTCAAATAGAAGTGTCAAATAGTGCACTTACTGCGCAGTTGTAAACATTCTAATTGTTTTGCTGCTAATCTGCTGCTTACATTGGAGTTTTAAAAAGTAAATTTTTTTTGGTGCTAAATAGTATATTTGGGGTGTTCACTTCATTGCTGAGAGTCAAATTGAAGTGTAATTTTGATTCAAATTTACTACATCGGTCACTTGTAATATTGTTACACAGATCTAAGTGATAGAAAACAGATGGAAATTTTCTACACTAGAAACTACCAGATTGCAAGCTGCTTTATTCAAACCAGTGATCAATAGCTAAGAGGTACTTCAACAATATTGTAATTCTGGGGCAATACCCTCACAAGTCAAACTGAGAGGTCAGTTTATAGGGAAAACTGTTGCCTGGAGGAAATTCTAAAACAATTTCCATATGTCCTTTGCAGACTTTACATGCTGGAAAAAACAGGTGCCAACTGCTGTGGCTTTCTGCAGTGTGCATACCGGCAAGGAGGGCAGGGTTGAGGAGTGGGTGGAGGATGATGTTAAGGATGATGAGGTCCTAGACCCCATATGGAAACAAGGTCATGCGAGTGACATGTGCAGTTTGGAGGAAGAGGCGCTGGTCGCACAGAGGCACCAGCATAGCATAAAAAGGAGCAGGGTGCAAAAGCAGAGCAGCCGTCCCCTAGCGCTCGTCGGCATGTTTTAGCTTGAGAATTACCAGTTACCCAAGTAATACATGTAGCGATCAAAGGATACATAATAGAGTTGAGCAAACCTGAACTGCAAAGTTCGGGTTCGTACCAGATTTAACGATTCATTCGTAGTTTCACAGTGAGGTGGGCAGTCTGGTGACCAGGACCCAGACACTGTCTGGGCAGCAGTTGGACGACTGGGACCCAGTATGCCTGATGTTGAAGTTAGGAGTCACAGTGTGGAATGGATTAGCAGGATCTGGTGCAGGGTAACCGCACGCCCCCTGGTGTTGAGCACCAGCATTTGTGAGGCCACATACCAGGAACCTGATGCAGCTTCAGTAAAAATAGTACTTGATACCAGAAGCCATTACCAGACTGATCCGCAACTTGGAACAGTATGTGACATTCACTGTAGCGGCTGTGCGCGCTTTTGGCGTTGTCACCCTGCTGCTGCTCGCCTGTCTGCGCTGCAGCATAACTGTGCGAGCAGCAGCAGGCGATAGTGGAGATTCAGCTGCAGCACATACGGGTCAGTGGCTCTGCACCAGACTTCCCTCCAATAGATCAGAGTTAAAGGATTTCAAGTGGACTCACTATAATTACAGGGCCTCTAAAGAGTCCTGTATTGTTATTTGTCGTCACTACCTTCCCGCGTCGGGAGTGGGTCATTTGCACGCCTGCTGCCTTCCTTGCATGTGGTAGTTGTTTCTCAGGGTCCCTGTACGGAATGGAACCCTGACTCCTCATTACCCGTGGTCACCATGATAGGCGCAGAAACTGGCATCAAAAGTTGATATGGATGACATCCGCATGCAAAGTTGCCGCCACAGGGATGTGCGATTTGCCCTAGGTTCTCTAGAGTAAACAAAGTTCCTGCGCAACTATAATGTCAACAGCTACTCTGCGGAACAGAGTTGTCTTTTTTGGCTACCCCAATTAAAATATCTATATATAAAAACAGTGTTGGCTACCTCATCCTCCTCCTCCACCACCACAGTCACCGCCTCCTCAACCTATGGGTCACTTAGTATAAACTAGGTACACATTAGCAGAGGCTTGTGAAGGCCTTTTCTCCATGCATCAAGAGTTGAGCATTTCTCCATGCATCAGGACTGCAAGAAATGCACAGCCGGCCGCAAATGTTTCTTTTGTTATATGTCCCAATATTTTGTGGGCTACCACAATAAAAAAATAAAAGAAAACATAAACAGTGTTGGCTACCTCATCCTCCTCCTCCACCGCTGCTTCCTTCTCCACCGCCACGGTCACCGCCTCCTCAACCTATGGGTCACTTAGTATAAACTAGGTACACATTAGCAGAGGCTTGTGAAGGCCTTTTCTTCATGCATCAGGAGTTGAGCATTTCTCCATGCATCAGGACTGCAAGAAATGCACCGCAGGCCGCAAATGTTTCTTTTGTTGTATGTCCCAATATTTTGTTGGCTACCACATCCTCCTCCTCCTCCAATATAATATATGTAATATAATACATATGTGAATGAAGGTCATGAAAACTGGATGATATCATAATACAGCAATTTTTGAAAAAGTTATATTTTATAAAGCCCTATAAATAGGGATATCTGCAGAACTTTATTGTCACTTGAAAAAGCCTATAGGAGAAATACAGTGTAATTGTATAGAAAGACTTATTTTTATCTGTTTTTTACTTAGTTTGCGTGGTATACCATAATAAAGATTATTTTGGAAGGGTGTGTCACATGCATATAGAGAGAGAGAGAGAGGTTGAGAGAATGAGAGAGAACTTCTGCAATGTGTTAGGATTATCTCTGTCTTTCAAAAGTCCTACCTTTATTTTTCATTATTATTATTACTGATATTTTAAAGTAACATGTTAATCAGAGCTATACAACTGTGGAAAAACAGATAATTAAGAAAATTACCCTGTCCATGAGATTTAGCATACACAGCCATTTATACAAACTACTTGGATAACCCATGAGTATATAGTCTAAAGGTTAAGTTGGGGAGTTGAGGCAAGAGTGGAGGATATTAAAGGACCACTGTAGTGCCAGGAAAACAAACTTGTTTTCCTGGCACTATAGGGTCTTTAGGTCCCCCCTACCCTCAGAATCCCACTCCTGCTGGGCTGAAGGGGGCTTAAGGGGTTAAACACTTACCTTTCTCCAGCGCCGTGCTCCCTCTGTGCTGGTGAACTCTCCTCCCTCTGCCGACGTCAGCACCGAATGCTCGCGCGCGCATTCAAACAGTCCATAGGAAAGCATTTCTCAATGCTTTCCTATGGACGTCCAGCATCTTCTTACGTTAAGTGAGACAGCCACTAGAGGCTGGAATAACCCTAGTGTAAACAAAGCAGTTTCTCTGCTATTTGCTGATCTCTGAAATTGCTATGTTTACAGCTGCAGGGTTAACACTAGATGGACCTGGAACACAGACCACTTCATTGAGCTGAAGTGGTCTGGGTGCCTACAGTGGCTCTTTAAAGACACTTAAAAGGAACTGTTAAATGAAGTTACTGAAAAGTAAATTTGGTAAGCTGCCAATCACATGAAGAGGCAAGCTATAAAGGGCAGGGTGGGTGGAATATTAATTAGTGAAAAGCTGTATATAAGGCCTTTAATGTCTTTAATAATTATCCATATTCACACATATCTAATCTGTACCTCCTGTCTCTAAATATATTCTTATTCACATGGTGTATCAGGGATCTTGATTTTTTTTCTTCTCTTTGTAACTCAGATTTCTGTTCTGCTGTTCTTTCTGTCCTGTTCCTGCTATAATATATTTACCTCACCATTCCCCTGGACTGCATTAAAAATATTTTAAAATAAATTCTCTTCAGGAACCTATAAGCCAGATGCTTGCAGCCTGTTGACACACACACACACACACACATACACACGCTTGCACACACTCAACACAAACTGAACATATCACAAGTAGGGATGGGAGCAATTCCATGCCCAAAAGAGTAATCCAGAAGCCCACATAAATAAAAAAAATATGATAATTTGCTGATCTTTTTAGGTTCAATCTTTCCACCTCTTCTATACGATACATGAATAAAAAGGGAAAAAATGTACACCACAGCTGAATAAATGTCATTCAACTTAACAAGTGGGAAAAATAATAATTGCATTTTATTTGTCCTAACTCTCTCTAGACTGTGTAGCTCCCAAATGACTCATTGACCATTAATATAGATCCATTCATCTATTCATAGCAGGTATTGTTATATGAAGCCAGAGGATTGTCCCTGCCATACCTTTTTTATAGTTGTATAAATACAAGGTAAGGACAGATGCATCATATTTGCAATTTGATCTACATATTGCTGCTTGCAGCGTATGTCATATTCCTTATTTAAGCACATATACAAGAGATTAACTAGGTTTTAACTAAATTCAAAACAACTCATGTAGCATTCACCAAAATTTCATACATCTTCAATAATGTATACAGTTGCCAATGTCTTCTCCTCTTAGACTCATTAACTCATGATGTATGTTATTAATCCTATAATGCAGAAACTATCAATCCCAAAAGCAAATAAACAAAACATAAATTGTACCTTTTCTGGACTTTTTGACAACTTTTTTTATTGAGAATTTGTTAAATAACTAAATGTATAAGGCATCATATGAGACATAATTACCGATCAAGTATGAGGCAACAGTAACAAGCATTAGTAAAAACTAGGCAAGCAACACAAATGTTCAAAATTTAATAAACTAGATCTCTCAAGCAATAAAGGACCACCAGGACCAGAAGAAAAACCTGGCGAGCCATGGTGGTAGAGGAGCGTGATGAAAGAGCAGGGGGGAGTATCACATCAAGTAGCAAAATATAAGCTGTTGAGAGTGTGAGAACCCAAAACCAAATGGAAAATGAGAAAAAAAAAATTTAAAAGAGTGGGCAAGATAAAAATTGTAAAAAAAGGGTGGGTGTTGCTTTTGGGAGTTGAACTGTTATTGGGTGCATCAAATAAAGAAATCAAAGGAGCATATTCATTTTTATAGCATTCAACTGGTCAAACCAGGAAATGTATAGCTTTCACAATGATCTCCTATTGAAGAGACCGCAGAAGAGGGAGAAGGTTTCTGGAAAAGAGTTGTAGTGAGTCACTATATATTCCTATCTCTAGATAGATGGTTGGAACAGTGACATTCAATACTTCACATTTATCAAAATTTAGCAGCAAACTGACCATAATCTAGTTCCATAATCTCTCAATAATGTCATTAAATTAGGGAAACTTATTTAGGGGTAGCTAACTATAAAGAAAAGAAAGAAATATGGAGAAAGATGGAACAGCTCATTATCCGAATCATACCACATCATCTGTAAAACATGGTGGAGGCATTGTGATGGCACGGGCATGCATGGCTTTCAATGGCACTGAGTCACTGGTGTATATTAATGATGTGACAGAAGACAGAAGCAGATGAATGAATTCTGAAATGCATAGGGATATATTGTCTTTCACTTTCAGCTAAAGTGAACGAAGTTAATTGGATAATGCTTCACTTTAGAGATGGACAATGACCCAAAACATTTGTTAAAATGGATACTTTAAAAGGCATACTGTAGTGCCAGGAATACAAAGCAGTATTCCTGGAATACCTCTGCCTCCCCCCTCCCTTGCGTCCCCTTTATTTACCTACCTTTTCCCAGCCCTGATGTCCATTGGGGCTGGGTCGAAACTCCACCCCTCCTCCGTCTCGGGATGAGCAGGGTCTAATGAGCATGCGCAGCAAATGCCGCATGAGCATTAGACCTCCCCATATTTAATTCCATTTTAAAAATTGTAATGTGCTGCAGAACAAATTGCCGCTATATAAATGATAATAATAATACCACTGCAGCTTAATCTAACCAGACACCCTAAAATAAATGTACAACATATTTTATGATATACATGTGACAAACTGAACCTCGTCACTGGTTCTTGGAGGAGCCTGCTGGCCAGCCTCTTACCCTGTGACTATGGCCCCTGCAATAGACCTGGCTTAAATACTTTAAGGCTCTGTTCATGTGAAGTATGTACTTTTATACTCCAGACAGAGAGACCGACCATTAGCACTAATTCTCTGGAACTGTTGGGGGCATGGGACCATGTGCACAGTTGGTCAAAAATAAGAATTACAGGAAATTCCTGAACACCTGAACTGACCTGGGTGATTTTTGGATATGTTGGTCACCCAGATCAGGGCGATCAGGGGATGTAACATTTGTGGGGTTTTATGTATTTTTAGGGTACTTTTGGGGTGTTTTAAAAAAGTATATTTTTTCTGTGCTTGTAGATACTTGAATTAGAATTAGTACAGTTACTGATCCAATTATCTCCCAAGCAGAGGGGAGGGATGGTGTGTGGGAGTGTCGTGCCTTGTAACCTTATTGTTATTGGTCTGTGTCTTTGTGTTGGAGTCCCCAACAAGGTCCATGTGGGCATGCCCCTTGCATGGGGCTTGTCATAAAAGGCCAAGTGTGGCTCCCATTAAATTGAGATTCATTTACCCCTTCATGAAGTCTTGGCTCATGTTTGGGGGATTGGAGAACTACATTCACTCTGGGGATTACTATATCACAATACTCCCCTGAGTATAATCACTAGCTCTTATAAGAGCTGTTCCTGCTACGCTCTCTGAGTAGGAGAAGTCTACCCACTGGAAGCTGGATACTGGTCTTGGGTCCAGGGTGGGTGAAGGACTGCAAGACCCCAACTAAGAAGCAGTGGTTTGTGGGGTTTATGGTCGTTATGGTGTTCCAGTACAGTGCTTATGGTGCTCGTAAGTACTAGGAAGCAGTGATTGACGGAGGTACCCGCTCGGGGTACCAGGCAGTCCGTCACAATACATATTTAAAAATGCTTACATTTTTATACATACTAGTATTTATACAAACGTATAATACTGTATATCATAAAAGTACTTGCTAGAGTTTATTGTGCTTGTAACAAAACATGAAAGATTTCCTAATTAAGAAAACAATTATCTTTATTTGAATATAAATATGCTATGTCTCCTCCATAATTTGAAGATTTCATGCTTACATTTTATTAAAACGCTCTCAAGTAC